TATTGTGAGTAATGCTATGATGTCACCATACACAAAAATTAATTCAAAATAGATTAAATATTTGAATGTAAGACCTGAAACCATAAAAATCCTAGAAGAAAACACAGGCAGTACGCTCTTTGACATTGGTCTTAGCAGTATCTTTTTGAACACCATGTCTACTCAGGCAAGGGAATTTAAAGAAAAAAATAAATGAGACTATATCAGACTAAAAAGCTTCTGCACAGCAAAGGAAACCATCAACAAAATGAAAAGACAATCTATCAAATGGGAGAAAATATTTGCAAATCATATATCTGAAAAGGGGTTAATTTCCAAAATTTATAAATAACTCCTACAACTCAACAACAAGAAAATGAGAACCAGATCAAAAAATGGGCAAAGGATATGAAGAGACATTTTTTTTCCACTTTTTGAAACAACTTTATTAAGGTAAAATTTACAAACCATTACGTGGACACATTTAAAGTGCACAGATCAATGAGTTTTGATGTATATATATCAAAGTAAACACCACCTAATCAAGGTATAGAACATCTCCATCTCTCCAGAAAGATTTCTCATGCTCCTTTGCAATCAATCTTGCCTTGTTCTTCATAAGAAGGATTTTAATATTTTATTATTGAGTATGCTACTAGATGTAATGCCAAGTACTTTTCTAGGCAGTGGGGTACAGTAGTGAACAGAGAGCAACCTCATGGAGCTGACATCATAATGGGAGGTGACAAACAAATAATAAATAGATGATAATAGTACCTCTTTCACTGAAAATATTTTATAAGTCTAATACTTTCTTCTTCCAAATTTTCCTTCTATTGCCAGGCTTTCTCTACTCTTGTGGGGGTCCAATCTAACTTCAGACTCTTCTGCAACCTTCGGCAAATCACCATCTGTGCCTTTATTTCCTCTGAAATGACCTCACCTTGCCTTAAGGAGATAATGTTAGGAGGAATGGCTAAACTGAATGGTGGAGAAAATCTGGGATAGCTTTGAAAATTCATCGTTCATTCAACAAATATTTATTGAGTACTTAATGTGTGCCAGGTCTGTTCTAGACTTTGGAGATCCAGCAGTGAACAAAAAGTCCCCACCCTCATGAAGCTGACATCCTACAGGGGGAGACAAATAATAAATGACAAAGACATTTATAATATATCAAATAGTGTTGATAATTATGAAGATGAAGGATTAGGAGGGTAGAGAATGCTGGGGAAGAGGTGGTGGTGGTTTTATTTTATATAAAGTGCTCAAGTAAGGATTCTCTGACATGGTGACATCTGATCAGAGACTTGACAGAGATGAGGGAGTGAACATGTGGATATCTGGGGTAAGAGCATTCTAGGCAGAGGGAACAGCAAGTGTAAAGGCCCTGAGGCAGGAGCATGTCTGGCATTTTGAGAAACAGCAAGGAGATCAATGTGACTTGAGAGAAACGGTGATAGAAGATATAGTCAGAAAGGTACCGGGCTTAGATCATATGTAGGGCTTCAGAGGCCATGAGTAAGGGCTTGATACAGAGAGGTTGTTTACTCTGATATGGGGAGACACTGGAAAGTTTTAAGCAGAGGAGCCACATCATTATAGATTCTAGAGTCTAAAAGATGCTATGTAGAGAATAGATTCTAGGGGGACCAGGGCCAAAACATGGAGACTGGACTCTGACAATAATCCAGGCAAGAGAAATAGATGTTTGGGTCAAAGTATAGGAGTGAGAAGTGGTTAGATTTGGAGAATATTTTGAAGGAAGAGCTGATAGGATTTGATGATGAGTCATGTGTGGGATATGAGAGCGAGGGGATGCTTCCAAGGCTTTGGGCCTGAAAAACTGGAAGAATGGAGTTGCCGTTTCCTGAGATGAGAAATACTATGGGAAGAGCAGATTTGAGGATGCAAGTAGAAATCAAAAGTTCTGTTTCAGATATGGTAAATTTGAGATGCTAATAAGACATCCAAGTAGACATGTCCAGTAGGTTGTTGGATATTATGTAAGTTTAAGAGTTCCGAGGACAGATCAGGACTAGAGATAAAATTTTGGAAGGTGTGGAGCTAGATGACAGAACTCAGGTAATAAGTATAAATAGAAAAGACGACCAAGGTCTGAGCCCTGGCAGCATTCCAACATGTTGAGATAGGTAAGATGAGGAAGAAACAGCAAAGGAGATTGGGAAAGAGAAGTTAGAGAAGTAGGAGAGAGAGTAGTGTCCCTGAAGCCAAGTGAAAAAAAAATGTATGAAGAGGAAGGCAGCGATCAAATAGCTGCTGAGAGAACCAGAAGAGGTCTGAGGATGACCAATGGATTTTGCAATATGGAGATTACTGGTAATATTGACAAAGGCAGTTTGTTGGAGTGGTGGGGGCAAAACCTGATTAGAGTGGTTTCAAGAGAGAATGGGAGGAGAGGAAAAGAAACTAGGGCAGAGAATGAATTTAGACAAATCTTTGGAGGATTTTTGCTATAAGGTGCAACAGACAAATGGGAGAGATGGAAGGTGGGGGAGAGGAATGTGGGTCAAGAAAGGATTTTTTAAGATCGCAAATATTATGTTTTTATGCTGATGGAAATGATCTGGTAAAGTGGGAATATTTCATGATAAAGAAAAGAAGGGACAACTGAGTAGGCAAAGGAGGATGAAATTGAGTAAACAAGTGGATGGGTTGCCTTAGGAAGGCTGAGAAACAGTTGATTTATTGAAGGCAGATTGCACGGGTTCACATGCAGGGAAGCAAGCAGATTTCATTGTGGGAGGATGTGGAAGTTCCTTTCTCATGGCTTCTATTTTATCAGTGAACTAGGAAGCAAAGTAATCATTTGAGAGAGAGGAGAAGAAAAGACATGTTTAATAAGTGAGTTGAGGAAAGGAAGGTAACCACCAGTATTCATTGTTCCTTTATGATATTCCTGGCACCTGATATACATTACCTCTTTGAATCCTCACAAGCACCTTATTAGAATGGGTTTACAGATGAGAAACAGATCCAGAGTGGTTGTGTAACTTGCCCAGGATCATGTACCATCAGCAAACAGCAGAGCTAAAATTTGAATCTAGAGTCTATGCCCCTCTTCACTATCCCAAACTGCATGGAAATTAGGTTTTGAGTCTGAGCAACTGGGTGTATGGTGGTGGCATTAATAGGGAGGGAAAACTTGAGAAAGAGCAGGTGGTAGAGGTGGGAGAGTGCAGGGGGCAGGAGGAGGGTGTGAAAGATTAGGAGTTTGTTTTTGGCCATGATGCTTTGAATGTGCTGTCAGGAACACCCAAATGGAACTCTCATGGCACAGCTGGAATTTCCAAATTTGAGCTCAGGAGAAAGGTCACAGAACTTGAGATGTAAATTTAGGAGTCCTCTACCAGAGAGTAAGAATTGAATTTGAGGAAGAGATCAAATTACCAAGGGAAAGAAAATAGAGAGAAGAGGGATGTGGACAGAAGCTTGGGAAATGGCTAAAGAAGGACAAATAGGAGCTGGGAGGGAGGCAGAGAAGCAACAGTTAGGAATGCAGGCAGTGAGTCTGCTTTATAACAAAGGCCAAGGGAAGAAAGAGTGTCAAAAAGGAATATGAATCAACAGTGTTAAATGCTGCAAAACAAATGGAGATTGAGCACTAAGAACAGCTACTGGATGCAGAAATTGGAGTTCAGGATGATGTAAAAGAGCCACTTGAGGGGAGTGGTTAGGGAAGAATGGGTGTGTTATGAAGAAGTAGAGGTGATGATAAGTGTAGACTATTCCTTTGAGAGGTTTGGTAGTAAAATAACTGCAAATCATGGTATGACAGCTCAAGGGATAATTAGGCCATGGATTGAGGGAAGGACTTTTGGTCCAGAGAAGAAGGCAGAATATGGTGAATGAGTATTTTAACTAGCAAGTGTTATGGACACTCAAGGAGGAAAGAAATCACTTTGTAGGGGAGGTTAGATTGCAAACCATGACATCATGATACTAGAGCTAGAAATGACTCCAGAGATAGTGGCCAATACCCTGATTGTAATCTTGGTCAACTTAAGGCCCAGAGAGGTCACATGATTGCCCAAGATCACACAGCAAGTTCGTGGCAGACCTGAGAGTAAAACTCAGTTTTTCCAACTCCCAGACTGTTCTTTTTTTCCATCACAAGTCTGATTCAGAGAACACCACCAAGTGAATGCACCTATCTGCCCTTCATCTGAGAGGTGGTCCTGTGGGCCCTTGGTCCTTTTCCTACATCTGTGATGACAAAAGTTATGAGGCTATGGCAATAGTCCAGGCCTTAACCAGATTGATGGCAGTAGTCTTGCAAAGGAGGGAAGTGAGAGGAGGATATATTTATAAACCATTTAAAAAAATATTCTACAGGGGCTGGCCGGTGGCGCAATGGTTACATGTGCAGGCTCCGCTTTGGCGGCCAGAGGGTTCACAGGTTCAGATCCCAGGCCCACCAATGCAGTGCTTGTCAAGCCATCCTGCGGCGGCAGCAGATATAAAGCAGAGGAAGATGGGCACAGATGTTAGCCCAGGGCCAATCTTCCTCAGCAAAAAAGAGGAGGATTGGCATTGGATGTTAGCTCAGGGCTGATCTTCCTCACACACACAAAATATATATATATATATTTATATATATATATATATACGTATATATATATATAAATATATAAATATATTTATATATTCTACAGTGATTTGCCCAAGGTCTCACAGCTAGGAAGCTCTTGAGAAACCCAGCTGTCAGCACAGGACAGTCTGTGCTATCTCTATAGGGTGCCATCACTGATAACATTAGATAGTAGAGGAATGATATCATGCTCAGAATCCTTACAGAATCAAGGGGTGTGAAAAGGGTGGCAGTACTAGAGTCTAGGACTTAAGAACTCCTGGGCCAAACCTGGAGCTGGAACCAAAACAGTCAGTAGGTCCAAAGAAAAGGGCATCTGCCAGGAAGCAAGATGGCGGGAGCGGCCGCGGGCGAAATGTCGCGATAGGAACCTCTGGGAGGATCAGGTGACGGAAGTTTGAGCCAGGACAGGGAGGGAGGGCGGCAGGAGCCCAGGTTGGGCAAACTCCGAGGCAGCGAGAGCAGTGGTGGTGGCGGCGGCAGTGGCAGCCTCAGTAGCACTGAAGACTTCCGGTGGCGTGAACCGCGGTCATGGACCATATCACGGTGCCCAAGGTAAGGAGAAGAGTTAGGCGAGGCTGGGAGCCACAAGCTCCCTCTCGATGCTCAGCCGGGAGCCCAGGCACACCCCCTCAAGCCTTCTCAGGGTGCTCTTTGACGCCCCCTTCCCGCGCCAGGACCCGCGTTCTCTTTCTCAGTTCACACCCCTTTTAACCAAACTGAACTCTTCTCCGGATCAGCGTGCAGGCAGTGGCGGCGCCGAGGAGAGGTGGTCTGCGTCAACCGTCCCCTCGTGCGACGCGGCCCCCGCTCTGGGTGCGGGCCTGCCGAGTCCCTCCCTCCTCTGTCCCTTTGACCCCAGCTCCTTCTGGCACCCCAGCCGTCACTTCACACACCCACTTGACTCCAACCTCTTATTCACACTCGCCACACTTGTAACCGCCTTTCTCGAATGCCCCACACGGCATAGCCTCCTGGAAAGTTAACTTCCTTTATCCGGCATTTCCCTACCCTCCTTTTGGCTCCTCTGCCTCTAACCTGCCCCGATGGCTGTCCAGACCACCACCACCCACTGTCCCAGGCCCAGCTCCCTGGCATGCGTGTGTAGGTTTGTGGAGGGGCAACAGCATCTCTCCAGCCCAAGCTAGGCTGTGGGAAAGGAAAGAGCTGTAGCAGAGTGGACCTGGCCCTGCTCAGCCGGGAAGAAAAACCCAAGCTGTGACATTGCCAGGCCAGTTGACGCTTGTTTACGGCCGACCACCAGTTAGAGCCGGTCCTATTTCTTTTCTCTTCTTCCCAGACCCTGCTCTTGCCTCTGCAACAGCAGCCTCTTTCTATTCTAAACCCACCTCCCGCCTGTCACTTTTCTTTCTACCATCTGAGGCTGAGGATCAGGGAACAGTTCACAACTAGTCTCTGCTTAACTTTTTTCTGTCGACCATAACAGATGTGGCCCAGGCTAACCGAAGTCCACATAAAGGCCCAGTATGTTGTAAGTGAAAGAGCATGGATTTTGAAGCCAGAACACTTGAATTAGAACGCTGGTCCCCTCAAGAACTAGCTGATGACTTTGGACAAATTATTTAGCCTATCTGAACCTTTCTTTCCTCCTCTACCAAATGGGGATAATGAAATTTGCTCTGCTCACTTCACAGGGTGGTTGTGAGGACTAAATAGAAGGATTTATGTGAAAGCGTTTTTGTAACTAGAAAAGTGTTCTGCCCACTTGTTAATTTAAGATTATGATGTTGCCTGATGGGCAAAGCAGGAACTCTAATCTTCAAATGTCTTCTTTCCTGACTACTTCAGCCCCCTACTCTGTTGAAGATAACCATATCTCTTGCACCATCCAGCCTTAACCTTTTTCTAGGTCCCTTCCTTTCCAGGTCATGTCATTTGCAAGGTGACACCATCAAAGCAATGGAGCTTCTGCTATCCAGACTCCCTCTTCTCCCAGCCCACCTAACCCTGAGCCACCCTACTTGTCCAGTTCAAAATTAGCTCATCTGAATTCTCCCTTTTTTCTCTTTTGACCTGGGGGAAAGGGAGAGGCAGAACTGCCCTTGTGCTTGAGTGTTAAAATATTTAAAATATTAAAATCCCCCTGTTGGGAATTACAGCTATAAACTGGGCTAGCTGTATGGTAAGGGAGGAGATACCATTATCCTGCCCATATCAAAATAATAATAACAGCTAGCACATCAAGTATTTAACTATGTGGCAGTGCCGTGCTAAATGCTTTACATGAAATGTTTTCAGTCCTTACAACAGCCTACAAAGGGGGTACTATTATTAGTCCCATGTTACAGACGAGGAAACTGAGATCCGTAGAGGTGAAATGACTTGTCTAATAAAGACAAGAGTGCTCAGTTTCAGACTGGTATGGAGATGGGGTTAGTGCTCAAGAAAACTTTAACTGGCATCATGGCCAGACTCCATTTGTACTGCATGGATGGTATTGTGAGTCTTAGAATACAAATAAAAATTCCAAATGAAGGCTTAGTTCTTCAAATAAAATTGGCATTTCTTTTGGTGCCTGGCAAGTGTCCACAGGTGGCATGCTGCCAAAAGTCTATTTTTTTTTTTCTTTTATTATTATAAGTTTCTGGGAAGGATTGGAGTTACACTAATGGCTAGGGGTTAAAATGGCCTCTCTCTTGTTAACTCACTGTTTCCACAACAGGGAAAGACATCTGTCTTGTCCATCTCAGGACAAAGAGATAACCATGAGCTTGTCAGTCATTAGTGCTGCATGTCAAGTGCAAAAGTGACTTTTATTTTTGGCTCTTGCTTGAGTCTTTTTCTCTTCTTGGGAAGACTTTTTTAAAAACTGTATTGAAGTGTAACATACATATGGAAAAATTCATAGATTATAAATTTATACTCCATGAATGTTCATAAACTGCACACACCCATGTAACCAGCACCCAGATCAAGAAACAGAACATTACCAGGAGTCCCCTCATTCCCCTTCTAGTCGATACCCCTTCAAAGGATAACCGGTATCCTGATTTCTAACAGAATAGATTAGTTTTGCCCTTTTTTTGTACTTAATATAAATGGATTCATATAGTATGTATTCTTTTGTGTCTGGCTTCTTTTGCTTGACATTATGTTTGAAAGACTCATCCATATTATTCCTTGTTGTTATAGATCATTCTCAATGCTATATAGTATTTCATTTTGTTAACATTCCATAGATTTAGCCATTCTTCGGTTGATGAGGAATTTCTAGCTCTGGCTGTTACAAATAGAACATTGTTTTGGTGGATATGCAAGTGCATATCCATCTTTTGTTGGGATACACATAGGACTGGCATTTCTGGATCATTGGATACCCATACTTTCAGCTAGGGTAGATACTACCAATTTTGCACTCCCATCACCCATGCATGAGAGAGGAACTGTCTTTTTAAGTTACAACCTTAGGTTTCAACAATTTTTGTAGCACTTCAGGCCTATCTAAAAGTTCAGTGAGTCTCCCTTATGAATCAGAATTTGTTCTTTGTACATTTCCCAACCCCCTTAACTTCTATGTCAGTTAGCGCCTAGAATTCTTAATTACCTTTCCTTCCCGGAATGGAACCTTATTAATTAGGATTTTTTCAGTTCATATTTACTGAGTTTCCATTGGCCTGGAAATTTACTGTAGTGGTTAAGAGTGTATGCTTTGGAGCCAAACTGTCTGAATTCAAATCTCAACTCTGCTACTTACCCAGCTTGGTGATCTTGGCAAGTATGTAACTTCTCTGTGCCTCAGTTCCTTCATCTGTAAAATGGTGGTGATAATAATAGTTCCCATCTCACGGGGTTGTTATAAGGATTAAATGAGTTAATATTTGTAAAAGTGCTTAGAATAGTGCCTGGCATATCGTAGATGGTTAATTTAGCTACCAATTACTATCATCATTATCATTATTAATTGTTACTATTTACAGAATCCCACACTGGAAGTTAAGGATACATAGCTGTCTTAGATATAGCAACTGCCCTCTAGGATCTCTTAATCAAGTAAGGTGATGAGATGCCAAGCATAAGATCTAAGAATGAGGAGCTGGCCCCATGGCATAGCAGTTAAATTCGCGTGTTCTGCTTTGGTGGCCTGGGATTCGCCGGTTCGGATCCTGGGCACAGACCTCCTCACCACTAATCAAGCCATGCTAAGGTGGCATCCCACATAGAAGAACTAGAAGGACCTACAACTAGAATATACAACTATGTACTGGGGCCTTGGGGAGAAAAAAGAGAAAAAGAGGAAGATTGGCAATAGATGTTAGCTCAGGGCCAATCTTCCTCAAAAAAAAAAAAAAAAGAAGATCTAAGAATGAAAGTGAGATCTTTTGTGAGAGGGACAATTGAAATACTGTTGGAGTTTAAAGGCAAATAAAGTCCAGTTCTAGATGAGTGTAAGACGTATGAAATGAAGAAAGCTTTATGGAAGGAGTGACATTTAAGCTGAGTTTGAATAATGGATGGGATTATACACTTCAGAGATTAGGGAGGTGGGAGGACCTCCCTACCAAGGGAACTGTAAGAACATAAGCTCATTAGGGTAAGGGAGTGAGAGGAATGCAGCAAGGAATTAAGTTGAAGAGATAAGTTTTGTAGATTGTGGAGGACCCTGAATGTTACACTGAGGAATTTGAACTTGGTTCTATAAGTAGCAAAGAGCTGCTAAAGCTTTATAAATCTAGAAATGTAGACTATAGAAGGTTGGAAAGGACCTTTTAAAAGATTATCTAAATAAGGAATGGGAATGCAGTTTCTTTTTGGTGTGATGGAAATGTTTTAAAATTATATTGTGGTCATGGTTGTACAACTCTGTAAATTTACTAAAAAAGTCAGTGAATTGTACACTTAAAACAAGTGAATTTTATGGTATGTAAGTTCAGTAAAGCTACTAATAATTGAATAAATAAATAAATAAATAAATAAATAAATAAATAAGATCATCTAGTGATAGTCCAAGCCTCTCATTTCACAAATGTGAAAGCTGAGGCCCAGATCACTGAAGTTTCTTGTCCAAGGTCAAACATCTAACAAGTGGCAGAGTTAGCATTGTCTTTTTGTTGTTTAGTATGCATGACTGGTTCAGACTATGATAAATTGTATGGAGTTATCATTGAAACAACAGCCAAAATAATTGGAAATGCTGGGTGGGTATAGAATGCTATTCTGGGAAATAATAATAATAAGTAATAACACTTTATAGTAGTTTACTATTTACACAATGCTTTTCAAGCCACCCTATCTGCTCTCAAGATTACAATATATATGAAGCTTTCCTAAAAGCAGATAATTTTTGGCTTGACTTCTAGGAAACTAAGAACCAAATTTAGTGTTCAATCATATTAACTACATTAGCCCTTGTACTTAGCATAATTGCTTCCTCCTCCTTTTCATGACTTTGATTTTCCATTCTAATAACCTAATTGTAGATCTGTCTTTTATTATAAACCACCTCAAATTCATTTAGGAAAGAGGCAGGGTCACAATAAATTAAGATAAAACTAGGTAAAGTGTTTTCATGATCAGGAAATGTGATTTCTAGGGGT